TGGTGGTGATTTTTGGCTATTAAAGGCTCCCCTTTATACAGAGGGTCCCAAAGTCTTCACCAAGGTAAAATGGAGCCGTAGGGGGCCTTGGTACCTGAAAGGGAGGGTGGAATAAGAAGCTTTCAATTAAATATTCCCATTAAGAAGAACCAGGTCCTTTCCCAGATGTCATAACCTGCTCCAAACCCAAATGACAAAAAGGAATTAATTGCAAGTAACAAGCTCTGGCTGATGAACCACTTGCAGTAAAGATTAGAGAAAATGATAACATTACTGACATGACAACCAGCAATAGACAGCATAAAATTAATTTTTATATGCCAATGACATATTTCTGTTTTTGGGAACCCCATACCAACACAAATACTGGAAAGATTTAATCAGCACACCAGATTAAAATTTAATTATCAAAATATAAATAGGTGTGTATAAACATTCCTATAATAGATTGAAAGAAAATTAAGATAATGTCAAAACGAGATTTACTTCTAGTTTTAGATATTTGGAGATCTGGCTAACAAAAAGCATAAATCAACTAGTATACAGGAATTATAAGATTGTATTTGCAACCATAAATTAAAAATAAAGAAACTTAAAAAAAAGAAATGTATCATTATCATAGAATAGTAAAGTTGGAAGGGGCCTATAAGGCCATCAAGTTCAACCCTTTGTTGATGGAATACATCCTGTATTCTATTGTCACTCCTATTGTCGTTATTAGGGAGAATAGTGGCAACAGAAGCCTATATTTTACCATTTTTTAATTTTTGTTTCAAAATACACCTTACTACCAGAAATGAAAAAGATAAAATTATGGCAAAAAAGATCCTGGGAAAAATTATTGCAGGACAAAGAAGAACACTAAGATTATAAATTCTGTAAAATATCAACCAAGTGCAAAAGGAGGATTAACAATACTGCATTCATTAAAATATTATGAAGTCTTTCAAATAGCTGAAATAGTTCATTTTATAAAGGAGAAAGGATGCGCTGAAATGGAGGAAGGAAAGGCAAACCCAATTAACTTTCATTTATAGAAATCTAGGTTGCCAAGAGTTGGGACTCAATTCCAGAACACTTTTACTGTACTATAGAAGCAATGCAAACATGGTGAAGGTATATTTAAAAATTCTTGCCCCTCCAATATCCCCCTTATGTCCTTGTGGCTTAGTTCTCTGGTTGCGGAGCCAGAGAATGAGAATTCAACTCCCACACTTTACCTCCTTGACAAGGACTGGATTCTGATGATCCATAGGGTCCCTGCCAGCTCTCCAGTTCAAAGGTTGCTAATGTATAGAATAAAAGATCAGCACTCTGTCCTCTGAAGATGCCGGCACAGAGACCGGCGAAACATTAGGAAGAACAACGGCCTAAGCGTCTGAAAAACCCACAACAACCATCAGATCCTGGCCGTGAAAGCCTTCGCGAATACAATAAAAGATCTGTTTGTACAAGGAAAACCAATTACAATTCAACAGTTAGAAGAAGAAAAAACAACAGAAATAGCAATTAACTGGTTCCAATTATTTCAGTTAAGAAATGTTGCAACTCAATTGTATAAGAACTCAGGCCCTAATAGACCATTAAGAGAGCTAGAAAATCACTGCATAGAAATGAACAATAAAAAGAAAAAAGGATAACTTTCACTAATTTTTAAACATTCTAGATAAAGAATATGGTAGCAGCACAAGACCTAAGATGGTTTGGGAAACAAATTTAAACATCAACATACCAGAATATATTTTGAAACAAATATGAACCAGCCAATCATATAAGTCGATATCAGCAACATCTAAAGAAACAATGTTAAAAGTAGTCCAAAGCTGGCACTTACATCCTACCAAACAACACAAAATTAATAGAGAGACATCAGAATTATGCTGGAGAAAGTGTGGACATAAACTCATAAAGGAACTGTCACGCACCCTTAATTCCCCTGTGTTCTTCCATCCAACCCACTTTCAGGTGTGACACTTATACAGTGGTGCCTCGCTTAGCGAGTGCACCGTATAGCGATGTTTCCGTATAGCGATCACTTTTTTGGCATCGCTATACGGAAACATCCCCGATCGTCACAATGGGGAAAACCCGCATTGCGAAGATCGGGTATTGCGGCGGCCATTTTGGAGCCACCAAACAGCTGATCGGCGGTGCCAAAATGGCTGCCGGAGGCCCGGAAATGGCT